TAAAGAAACAAACAGCACCCGGCCCAGACAAGGTCAGACCTGAACACCTGAAGAACCTGCCGTCAGTACTCATCAATACACTGGCTCGACTCTTCACATGCTACCTGTCTGAATGCAAGGGTCTGTCCCAATGGAAAACCAGCAGGACCGTACTACTGTTCAAGAAGGGAGACATCCATGACATTGGCAACTATCGCCCGATCTGCCTATTGTCTGTCATCTACAAGTTGTTCACTCGAGTCATCCTAAATAGGATTGGCAGAACACTAGATGAAGGACAACCATGCAAGCAAGTCGGGTTCCGCAAAGGATTCAGCACCATCGACCATATCCACACAATAACCAAGCTCATTGAGGTTTCTCGGGAGTTCAAGATGCCGCTCTGTTTAACGTTCATTGATTTAAAGAAGGCCTTTGATTCTGTTGAGACGGAAGCGGTCATTGAAGCCCTAGCCAATCAGGGCATTCAAGCCCAATACATCAAGATCCTCCGTGAGCTGTATTGCGGATTCACTACCAGGATCTCACCATTCTACAAAGAAGTAATCATTGATGTCAAGAGAGGGGTTCGGCAGGGTGATACCATTTTACCGAAACTCTTCAGTGCCACCCTCGAGAACATCATGCAACGACTGGAATGGGAAGGAATGGGAGTGAAGATAGATGGTCAGCAACTACACCACCTCCGCTTTGCTGATGACATTGTTTAATAACACCAAACATCAGCCAAGCGGCACAAATGCTGGCCGACTTTGACCGTGAGTGTGGAAAGGTAGGACTACAGCTGAATCTTACGAAGACAATGTTTATGAGAAACAGCCTCGTTCCTGACACCCCATTCACTCTCAACGGAACGACCATCTCCGAATGCAACAGCTATGTGTACCTAGGTCAAGAAGTCAACATGACAAATGACCTGGCACCCGAGCTGTGCAGGAGGAAGAGAGCGGCTTGGAACGCCTTCAAGAGCGTCGAAGAAATAACTAAGAGGACGAAGAACCTCCGGCACCGGGCACATCTCTTTGATTCCACTGTTCTTCCTGCATTAACATATGCCTCAGAGACCTGGGCCCTACGTAAACAGGATGATTATTTTTGAGGCTCTTCATGTTCCCAGAGAGAACAGATGCCATTGGGCTACACTAGCACGTGATAGGGACAAATGGAGACGTTACTGGTGCCTGCTCGAGCAAATCGACGACTAATGGGAAGTTAAGTGATTAAGTGATTAAGTGACTGTTTTGAACAGAAACTTATTAGCATCACCTGATTTTTTAGTTTAATTGTGCAACACGTTTGTGCAACTTCAATTTTTTCATTATCACAAGTTGCTTTTGCGATTGAGATTTGCTAATTAAATTCAGAGTGTTTCTCTTCTCACTTCACATCCTCAAATAGTGTAAATGAAGGAGGAACAGTGTGACAAGATATATTTGGCTGACTTCAATCAATTACGTGATGTGGGTGTAATAATATATTTTTGATTGAGGTGTTTTTGCACTGTCATCATACTGACAAGAGTCAGATTCTTACTTGGCACATCTGAGATGCTCCAACTTTGTGTGACCTAGATAGAAAACATATGGGGTATGTATTTTTAGCACACTTTCGCCTAGGGTGTACTATGAGAAAAACTTAAGAAAGTAAAAAGAAAATCTTTATTTTGGAAAATAATTGGGGAGGCAAGCTTGCTTTATAAAATGTAATATTTAAATTTTTTGTTTCTTCTATGTACTTAATTTTTAGTTACACTTTATTGTTCAGTTCTTTGATATAGGTTCTTGTTTTGCAAGTAGCTTTTAATTGCCTAGCTTATAGTAAAGATTTCAGCTTGTTGGCAGACCAGCGTATCATCTGTTGCTATCCCCAAAATAACTAGTTTAGAAAATGCTCCTAATTTAGCCCCCTTGATCTGATTGCCTGGTGTGAAATATTTGTCCAGAACTACGAGCAGTATTTCCTTAAAAGAACATTTTTTCACATCTAGTAGTTCTCTTGTTTTCACAGCTTTTTCTAGAACCCGTTTCTTCAAGTGAGCCCTTCACAATTCTGTCTCCTAGCTGCTCAGTGTTAACAGCAGCTTTCGTCCGTGGTTATCTCTAGCTTTGGCATTGCCTAAGGACTCACTCGAATGCAAACTCAAATAAGCATTCTGCTGTTTACAGTGGACTCTTAAATATGACCATAAACATATGAAGGCATGAAAAATTGCTAGGATTACTAAGCATATTTTATATAAGAAAACAAAATGTCGGTCTTTTGATGTAGTGTAGTGAGAGTGTGTGCCTCCCATGTATGATTTCTGGGCGTAGTCTCTAAGTGGGCGGGGGGGAGAGAATGAGGGAGGAAGAGGTGAGGGGAGAAGAGTAGATCCATAGGTCCAAACAGCAAAGCTTTCAGGGTTACACTCAGCACAGGGGGCAGCGTAAGGGTTGAACTCAACATGTTATGCTTGAAAGGCAGGTGTTCTAAGCCACTGTGCTATTTCTTCAGGCCCCAGAGGCCAGATTTGGTCCTGTTTCTCTGGACCCTAATTTTCTCAACTCTACTGGACACTTTTAAAGAATAATAAATGTGGGCTGGAGAAATAATACAGCAGGTAAAGGGTAATGTGCTTGTCTTACGTGTTCCTGACCTGGGTTCAATTCCCAGCATGCCCTATGGTGCTTGGTCACTGCCGAGAGTAATTTCTTAGTGCTAGGAGTAACCTTGAGCATTGCTGGCTAGGCCAAAAAAATTAATTAAAAAAAAAAGCCAAGCTCATTATTTGACATTGTTTGATTTAGTTGGCTTTCCCCCTCAAAGTTTATTTATAAAAGATAGTTATAAGGGTTCTTTTATTATTTGTTTGTTTTTTGGACAACACCCAGCAGTTCTCAGGGCTTTCTCCTGGTGGGACTTGAGGAGCCATCTGTTGTAGGATAACATTGGTTTGTCCTTTCTACCTTGCCACAGGGAGCTTTGTTTTATCGGGTTACACCCATCACAGTGCTCCCAAGTCACTCTTATTCCTTTGTTTATCTGTAAGCTCTTCTTTGTGCTCTCCTCCCCAACCAGTTAGTCATCTTTTCCCCCTAATCAGATTCTGTTAACTGGTAAGGTCAGATTCTCCTAAGGATACTTAACTTGTATTCATGTATTGCCTTTCTCCTTCTCTTATGTCTTTTGCATAGTTTAAAGCAATGTCCTTTTTGTATGGACACAGGAAGATAGTTAATATTATGCTTTTGTAACTTGGGAGTTAATTGACTCCCAATAATATTCACTCCTGAACATCTGCTTTCTCAACTTAAGCCTCGGTTTCCCTTAGTTCTTAGCACCCCAAAAGCAGGGTCCCGACAAGGGACTGAATGGACCCAGGGCAAGCTGTGAGCTACCCTGGCATCGAAATGGGTCAGGCCAAAGTGCCACAATACTCGGCTATAAATCAAGAGCATGGTCATGGACAAATTATCATGACCCAAAAGAGGTAACTGAATAAGGACCCTCCTGGGGTTGGGAAGACTAACCTGACCTGAGGACTGTGGTCTGGAATATATGGTGAGATGTCCTCAGGAAGAACCAGACTTTATATATCTAACCAGCTTGATATATCTCTGACTGTGCTCATACAAAATGACATTGCTAGAAATATTAGAAGTAAATTTACAACAACTATTTAAGTGGATTTCTAGCTGAGGAAAGAAGAAAGCAGCACACCCTGGATGGAATCCCGCCCTTGAGCAGATCTCCTAGAAATCTGGAGTAATCTCCTTAGTTGAGATTTTGTCCTTGAGTTAATCTCCTGGAGGAGTGGCCTTCCCTCTCTTTGTTGATTTGTTAATGTTCAGCCCCACCTTTGTATCCCCACCCTACCTGATTTCTATATAAACTAGGCTTTAAGAGCGGTCTGGGGGATCCTGAGCAAGAGAAACAGGAGAATCAGAGGAGAATGGAGAGGAGATTGGAATAAACTGCAGTCGATACCGACCAACCTGGCTCTCGTTCCTTCCTTCACCTGCCCTTCGCCATCGGCCTCCCCGGGGTGGTGGAAGCGGAGACCACCAAACACGGACGGCAAGAGAGAGAGAGCACCACTGCCCTTTAGTAAATACACGATCTGTGGTGCCAGGAATGAAACGCAGATAAGCTGCTTGAAAGGCAATGCCTTCCCCACTGTAACATCTCTCTGGTCCCATCAAGGTTATCTTAAAATCATACAGTATCCAAAAATTTTTTATCACTTTGACTATAGAATTCTTGCAACATGGCTGCATTCAATAAAATGTTTATTTATTTCTTTGAATAAGTATGTAATTTGAATATACTAATATGTTTTCTTTAGAATTAGAAGAGAATGTTTAATAAAACAGCTTATGCATAGCACTTTCCCTTGTGTTTATCTGCATTATATATTTTATATTCCAATAGCTATAGAAGATAGCTCTTCATTATCTTGTAGAGGCAAGAAAAATGAGGTTAAAGAAAATAAGTTTTGTTTTACAGCATATACAGCTACGAAAATTAAGAACCAGAGTTCATTTAGAATTTGATCCCATATATCTTTCCTAAATGATACTGAAAATATAAGCTGGGGATTAATACCAAATATAGAAATATAGTAGGTATATGTTTAAGCTTAGTGAATTTAAGTGTTAAAAAAGGGAATGCCCTGCCACAGAGGCAGGTTGGGATGGGGGGGTGGGGGGTGGGAGGGATACTGGGCTCCGTGGTGGTGGGAAATGGGCACTGGTGGAGGGATGGGTATTTGATCATTGTATAATTGAAACCCAAGCACAAAAATTTGTAAGTCTACAACTGTACCTCATGGTGTCTCACTAATAAAAAAATTGACCAATCAAATCCAGGGTAAATAATTCAAATTTATTTTTAGATCAAATAAAGATATTTAAAATAAAACTTACCAATTGCTTATCAAAAAATTACATAAATTAATTTATTATAAAATTAATAAATTAATTAAATTTAATTAAATGCTGTCTGTGTCATTCTGACCCTAGGCAGTTGTTTGGCATAAGACTAGAGTATCAAATCATAAGATGGCTCTGACGTCTGTTCTGGGAATTGCTACTATGGAACATATGGAATCCTTTGAGTACCATTCTGAAGAATCTCAGGTATGTGGCAAAATTACTCTTTAGTCATTCTCATTTATTATTCAAGTTGTTAAAATGCTTCACTTTGGGGAGGTTGGAGTGACAGCTTTTTGATTGGTTAGTTTATTTGTTCTCAGGCCACGTCCAGCAGGGCTCAGGGGTCACTCCTGGATGTTCTCAGGGGACTGTATATTTTTCCAGTGATTGAACCCAGGTTCAGGTCAGCTGTGTGTAAGTCTAGGAAAAGGACCAAGGAAATGGCACAGAAATTAGGGCTGGATTCCATCCCCAGCACTGAATGTCCTCCTATCACTGCTGGTTGTAGTAACCCTGTAGGCCTCTAGCAGCATTGGATGTGGCTTTGGTGTCACCAGCACTGTGGGGCTGGAGGAGCGCTGCATCCTTGGGTCCTCGGATAAAACCATTTGGCCTACTCGGTCTCTTTAGCACTGCTATGAGGCCCCCAAATGACACGAAAATAAAGGGGCTGATAGTACAGGATTATGGTGTATGCTTTGCATGCGTCTGACCATGGTTCAATCCTGGGTGCCACATGGCTCCCTGACCTCCACAATCCTGGGTACCACATGGCTCCCTGACCTCCACAGTCCTGGAGACCCTGGAGCACTATCAGGTGTGCCCCCTGAGACCCCAAGTACAACATCCTCAGTGATTGCTCTGAATCACTTGACCAAATTTCTAACAGCACCACTTGGGCCCAACCTCAAGCTCCCAAGAAAAGAAGACATACATAGAGTTTCTGTTAAATGTCTTTCTCTACAACTACTCTTTGATCTTTGTGTTTTTAATAAAGTTTTGATCTTTGTGTTTTTAATAAAGTTAGGGTATCATCTGTTTACTTTCCACTGTGGAAGAAGATTTGAGTTTTCTTAGTTTTGTTTTTGTTTGATGCATTAAATATACACTCTGACTTCCTTTTGTTAATCGGATTCAATTAGTATCTCGAGTTCCTCTAGTACTAGATGAGATAATATCTCTCGTTTTTTTCTCTTTCACTCATGTTGAAAGCCTTATTTTATCAAGCTCATTAACCTTCCTTACATAATCATTTTAAACGTTTTCCGTCTTTCATTTGAGTTTAAATACTGAAAATTAATGTAGATTATATATTGATCTTACTATAAATAATCTTCATTCCTCTTAGGATTCAGTATTGTGCCTTTGTTGACGCGTAAATGAAAATATTCTTATTGAACCAGTTAAATGGAATCTCCTTTTTATTTCTTCATATAGTGGCATCAAGCAAAAATTTGAAGAATTGAAAATTATATACAAGCAACCTTACATAAATATAACATTTGATAAGACTTTGCTATTTGATTTTTTTTCTATGTTACATATAAATTGTATGATTGTCCTAGACGCTTACTCAATGGCCAACCAAAATGGTGTGAAAGAAAAAGACCTACACAATTTCAACTGCTAGAAATTTTATCTTATTTTATCTATTTTATTTTATTTTATCTAAAATAAATGCTACATTTTTCAGCGTGTTTTGAAAAAATTCCCAAGCCTAGTAGTTTTTCAGAGACCAAGCAGGCTTTCCCTGATGGCTCAGCAGGTACTTCTTATTAAGAAGTGTCTCATATTACCTGGTAACTTATACGGCCATTTATAAATGCTGTGAAGTTTTACAGCTAATTAAGTAGTATCATTTTGTAATGGTTTTTTTAGCTTTATTAATTTATTTTTTTTTAATTGGCACAATCTGGCACTGTGACAATAATGCACTTAGTGTTCTAAAATTGGTAACATGTCTCCTGAAACACTTATTCCCAAGGTCAGGAATAGCCATAGACATAGGTCGCAGCCTACAGGCGGTGTGGGGAAGGAGGCTAATGGTTTCTGCCTAACTAAAAATAGTCCATGCTGGCTCTCTTGCTTTTCTAAGCCTAAGCTAAAATTTTGCTATTTGTATTTCTTTGCAGGTTAATAACACATCTGGTTTCAGTGATTTCAGATAATAGGTTAAGATCATACATGTGGTAGTGGAGCGGTTCTAAATCATGTCACTCTGGCTTTATATTCTTAAGAATTTTCTATATTATTTTTAAATTTAAGTAGGTGTGTTTTCTGGCCTTTTCCCTCCCCTCCTTAATTAATCTCTCTCTTTTTTTTTTTTTTTTTTTAGTATTGTGTTTTCTGTCTTCAAGCTTTTGTAAAGGTAAAGAAAGGTTGGAACTAGTTTCTAGAAAAAAAAATTCAACATAAAGTTAAGAAGTATAATTAGTGTCAGAACAAAAGACTGTGTTTTGGTTTTTCTTTTTAACTCAAAAAAGAAAACTCAGATTGACTTTATAACATACTTAGAATAAAGTTAGAAACAGCCACCTTATTAAAGGAAAGAAAATGAAGTAGGAAAATTTAAAAAGTCAGAAGAGAGAGATCCTATACAGAACAGTGTTCATGATGGATAGCCTACAACTATAAAACACTTAGACTCATTCTAAAGTTTTTATGTATTTTGATTTTTTCCCCTCCTTAAAACAGAATTGCAAAAGAGAGAAGTAGAAACTCCCAACCTAATACATGTATTTTAATGTTCAAAACATTATCAGGAAATATGTGATTTTTTTTTAAACCTTAAGTTAAAAACCCATTTGTTAATCTTTATACTTAAAAAAAAAAATGGGGGAGGCTTGCTTTTCAAAACGTGCTCTCCCTTGAACACGTCTCTCTCCTGCTTGTCTCTCTGTTTCTTTGCTTGCCTGTTTCCATCTGGAAAAGCCTGTGTTCTCTCTCAACATGTACTTCTCCCTGTCTCTCCCCTCACATATTTCTTAATAAGTTTTAATAAAAAACTTTCTTGCTTCATTAAAAAAATGGTGGGGGAGAGCTTATAGGCCTTTCCTGGAGAGATTCCTGGCCATGTGGGTGTATGTTGAGCGCTAGGATCTAAGGACATGGATGGAGCTTTTCCTTGCCAGCACTGCCAGGCTGTCCTGGCAATGTTTGAGGGCCTCCAGAGCCACCCCACAGAAGCTAGGGTGAAGACATGTGATGTCAGGGATAAAACCAGGGTCCTCTACATGCAAGGCATACTTCTAATTTCTGTCTTTTCTCTCTGGCCCCTATTTTATATTTATTTATTTATTTATTTTTGCTTTTTGGGTCACACCCAGCGATGCACAGGGGTTACTCCTGGTTCTGCACTCAGCAGTTACTCCTGGCGGTGCTTGGGGGACCATATGGGATGCTGAGAATCGAACCCAGGTCGACCACGTGCAAGGCAAACGCCCTACCTGCTGTGCTATCTCTCCAGCCCCATGGCCCCTATTTTAACACAACTTTACTTTATATTATTTGTAGTCAGACCTATGAAACTAGTATTTTTTGATAACCTGACGTATTAATTGTGTAATAATTGTAATTACAGATTTACCTAAGTGGATTTCTTCCAAAACTTGATGCAGATCATTCTTTTACTAATTTATCAACCCCAGAAAGAAGTTTTATCTTTGTAAATAATCGGCCAATACACCAAAAGGATATATTAAAGGTAATTTATTTTAGGAAAAAGTATCACTTGCATCAGAAGTAAAAATAATTCTCTCTTCTTGTTAAGGAAATATTTTTTCTCTTGTTAAGAAACCACTTTCAAGAATGTACTGTAATAATGAGGGAATATGTGATATAATAATAGTGTTATGCTAGATATCTCACATAAAATGTCTTCCATGACTCTTCACAGCATCTCTGATGAATTCTTATCCTTATTTATAGTGATGAAACTGATATGTTTCACTTTTTTAGATCACATAGCCAAGAAGTAACTGAGTTTGGATTTGAAAGCTTGGCTTTCAAAACTTGTATGACACCTTAACCTTTGAATATGAAAGCCATGCTTCCTAATGAATACTTATGCTTCATAAGTTTGAGGCCTCTAGATGAGTATTACTTTTATTGCAGGGGGAGGTCACATCTGGTATGCTCAGAAATTATGTCTGTCTCTGCTCAGGGATTTCTACTGGTGGAGTTTGGGGGTACTGCTTGCTGGGTTGGCTGCGTGCAAGGCAAACTCCCTACCTGTTGTTCTTTCTCTCCAACCCATGAGTACACTTTTAGATACTGCTTTTTCTAAATTAGTTATAGAGTCTCAGTTTCTATGTCCATTTTGGTGGATTTTAAGTGTAACAATGTTAATTTTACTTTCATGGTAATTTTGTCTTTCTTTTATGATGTATACTTTAGTTAATCCGACATTATTACCACCTAAAGTGCTTAAAGGAATCTACTCGTTCTTATCCTATTTTCTTTTTGAAAATTGATGTACCTATCGCTGATGTGGATGTAAACTTAACACCAGATAAAAGTCAAGTATTATTACAGAACAAGGTAATCCTTTTCTGATAATCTTTGTGTATTTATGCTCTTTATAAATTTGTACAGTATTAACTATCTTCATGTGAAAAGAGAGATTTGCTTGTTTATATATGGTTTTTGGATTGTTAGTTTTGGAATCTTGTTTTCTTAACATTTTCTTGATTTCCCCTAACATTTGTTAATTTGTATTTTTAGGAATCTCTTTTAATTGCTCTTGAAAATCTGATGACGACTTGTTATGGATCACTACCTGGTACAAATTCTTATGAAACTAATAAAACAGATGTTTCCTCAGCTGACATGATCATTAGTAAAACCACAGAAGCAGATGTGCTTGTAAATAAGATAGAATCATCTGGAAATAATTATCCAAATGTTGATCCTTCAGCTATTCCTTTCCCAAATGATGTGCACAATTACAAGTCTGGACAAAGCACTGATTGTTTAAATCATCAGATACGTAGCGGTGACCATTACGATGATCATCTTAGTTGTGAAGATTCTAGCACCGATAAGAATGCTAGAAATGTATTTCAAGAAACCTCAACAGATAATTTATTCTGTGATGATGTGCAGAGCAATAAAGAAACTTGTCTTCCACAGGCCCAATCAGAAAATAGCGAAAAACATGCAATAGACAAGAGAGGGGGAAATGAGGAAGAAGTACTTCCTGAGAAGTCTTTAGAAATCTGTGCAGATGACTGGAGCAAGGGACATGCACTTAAAAACGCAATGGGAGAAAATATTGAGCCTGTGAAAGTGTTAGTACATCAAGAAAATCCAGCGTGTGAAATAAATAGTAATAATAGTCATCATGTAAGCCCAGAGCAACTGAATGTCAGTGAAGGGTCCTGTTTTAAAAAATCAAATGTGGTTGATAACAAATCTGGACAGCTTACAGCGTATGACTTAATTAGCAATCGAATAATCAAGAAGCCTCTGTCAGCAAGTGCCCTTTTTGTTCAAGATCATCGTGCTCAGTTTCTTGTAGAAAACCCTAAGATGAGTTTGGAAGAGGCAACAATACAGATTGAAGAACTGTGGAAGACATTGAGTGAAGGGGAAAAACTGAAGTAAGTTTCCAGAGCTTGCATGTGACCTGATGCTAGGATATTTCCATTCTATATGACTCACTGGGTTACAGATTTTTTTTTTTCTAATTTATTTATGGAAAAGCGAACTGGAAAATGCCTTTTGGCTTGGCTAGAGTGCATTTTCTGGCGTCACTTTTTCCCCCCCTAATTTTAGAAGTTTCTAGAGAGGTTTTTTGGTTTGCTTTTTGTTTTGGTACAGACCTTCACTGCTTTCTGATTTATTAAATTTATTGTTAAAGGTTTTCCATTCATCTTAATTTAAAACTGCCGTTTTTTTTTTCCTTTTAGTCTCTGTTAAATATCACATGACAGAAAGTTTTTTTCTTTAAACTTATCATTAGAACAATTATGTTCCTGTTTTTAAGGAATATCTTGACTATTTCCTTTTATATTTGTTTTGCAAAACATGTAACATTATAGAAAGTTGTGATATAATATTGGTTTTGGGGTTTTACCTTGGTTTTGGGTTTTTTGTTTGTTTGGGGGACCTGGCAATGCTCAGAGGTTACTAGTGTCTCTGCACTCAGAATCAGTACTTGTAGGCTGAGGGGACAATATGGGAGGCTGGGAATTGAACCCCAGTCAGCCACGTACAAAGCAAGTGTATTACCCGCTCTAGTATCTTTTCGGTCCCAAAAGTTGTAATATGGTTGTGTAATTCAATTTAGTGGTGCTAATTCAGTATAACTCAAGAATGTCTTCTCATATTATTTACTTACTGGAAAATAGTAATCGTGGGCTATTTTGGTAAATAGGTAGCTTGATCTCTGAATAAAATAACTATAGCTTGCCTTCTTTGGATGAGATCATTTGAATAAACACCATAAAATAATGTGATAGCTGTTCCTAATTGACTTGGAGACTTATTACAAAAAGCACACTGTTTGATGTGACCTAGACCACTACAAAATAGACAAGAAATTGTGCTTCTAAATCACGTATTGTTAATAAGGTATCAATATTATGCCAGATATCTGGGGGGAAAAAATGTTTAATCAATCCAGAGTTTTTAATTGGTTTCTATACTGAGTTTTCTTCTTTTTATCTATTTTTTAGTTTACTCAATCTTAAAGAGATTTTATTGGTTAAAAGTAATAAAAACCTCTGTTGAGGCTAGGACTCTTGATCATAGTAGAGCACTTGTCCTGCATATGTGAACCCTTATGTTCAGTACCTGTCACCCCTGATATTAAACAACAACTCTGTTAATAGCTTCAGAAAGAAACTTCCACAAATTCTCCACTTTTTGGGGGGGAGAGTGACCATTGTTGTTACTTTGTTCCCCCCTCCCCCCAGTATATACTGAACGAGATAAAACATGACAGTAAGCTTATTTCCTATTTTCACCTTCACCCACGGCACCTCATCGTCATTATGGCTTCTTCCAGACCTGCACTCACTCTTCTGGACCTTTCACCAACATGGTTCTAAAGCAAATCCTTGATTAATATCATGTTTTATTATTTTAGTGTAGATCAGTAAAAGTTGAAGAGAAAGACATTGCAGAACTTTTAAAACATTAATTCCTTCGTAGCAGACAGTCATTATTCATAGTTCCAATTTCATAAATTTCATATTTTTTTCAGTCTGTTTGAAAAAATGCAGATTCAGGTTTACCCATTGTGTTTTATTTATTTTACCTAAGTGACAAAAATATGTAGTTTAAAGAGGAGTATATTTAACTTTCAATCCAGGTGCACAAAAGGTGAATTGCATTGATTCAGAGTTGATGAATTGAAGTGGTCTGAGAATAGAAGAAATAACAGTACAGAAGTTTCTAGTTTTCCTGGAACTATTGAAAAAGAATAGCCTTGAGTAGCTATTCCTTTGCAGCCTTACAACTGCATGGATTATTGTGCTTACCTTTTAGGGAATGTGGGCAATGTTTTTCCCTTTTTGGTCAAGAAGTTGGGGTTTAAGGATTATGGCCAGACCTCTAGTACACCAGGTAGGGTGCTTGCTTCGCACATAGCTGACCAGGGTTCAATCCCCAGTACCTCAATATGGTCCCCCAAGCCTTCCAGGGGTGATCTCTGAGCCACAGTTACAGGAATAAACCCTGAGCACTACTCAGAAAACACAAGGCTAGTAGCCTCACTTAAAATTTTGTTTGTCCATAGTATTCTGCATCTTGTAATCAGAAGGTATACAGAAGAAGCATTATTGGTTGAGAGCAGACTGCTGGAGGTATACCTGGGTTCCAGTACTAGTTCCACTTTTAACCAACACTTTTCTAAAAATGTATGGAAAGTCTCCCTGGTTGTGAAGATTTAATAAGACAGTGAGTTTACAACACATGACTAATACATAGTAAATGATTGTGATGCTTATCGAATTTTATTTATTTATGTATTTTTGACTTGCCTTGGGGCTGGAGCGATAGTACAGTAGGTAGGGCGTTTGTCTTGCACACAGCCGACCAGGTTTGATTCCTCCACCCCTCTCGGAGAACCTGGCAAGCTACTGAGAGTATCTCGCCTGCACGGCAAAGCCTGGCAAGCTACCCGTGACATATTTGATATTCCAAACACAGTAACAAGTATCACAATGGAGACGTTACTGGGCCCGCTCGAGTAAATCGATGAACAATGGGAGGACAGTGACAGTGATTTGTTTTTAATGTAGGAGTACTGCTATTTATTCAGCCACTGATTAGGAGGACATTGTTTTTTATATGTTAAGTCAAGATTAAATTTAATTTGAAGGGGACCAGGAATTAGTACAGTAGTTGAGACACTTAATTTGTATACAGTCAACCCTGTTTCAATCCCCAGTACCGCATGTGGTTCCCTGAGCAATGCCAGGACTGTTCCCTGAATACAGAGTCAGGAGTAAGACCTGAGTGCCTCTAAGTATGGCCCAAATCCTTTTAACACTGAAAACAAAATTAATTTGGGAATGAGAAATAGGAACCTATGAAGGAGATACAGGTATCCTGTAATCACAAGGGTTATTAAAAGTCTGCAAGAGTCAGGAATTTTTTTAACTATGATTGGCTCTATAAGTTGTTAGTGAGAAGATACAGTGAGAATAATATCACTACCTCCTACACTACCAATTCTAGTCCTTATCTTTTGATTCTTTCCATTTTACTAAACTAATAAGGAGTGTTAGGAACAATGAGAGTAAACTTACCCCATTTTTTTTTCACTCCTTTCTTTTTCCTTTCATCACTTCTCCAGATTTTCTGCCTTCTTGCCATCTTTGTTTCCTTCCATCTCCCTTCTTCCATTTTTTTCCTTTGGTCAAGAGATCCTTCTCTTTGGCTTTTGGGCTACATTCATTGTTGCTCAGAACTTATTCCTCTTTCTATGCTCCCAGGTCACTTCTAATAGGGCTCCTGTGGACCACATAGGGTGCTTGGGATTGAAACTGGGTCAACTGCATGCAAGGCAAGCAAAGCACCTTATCTGCTGTACTCTCAGGCCCCAGAAAATGCTATTAAGGGCTTTCTTTGTACAAAGTCTTCTAAAAGCATTCTAATACTTCACTGAAGTAATAAATGAAACCTACTTAACTCATATATGGTACAGTCTAGTGAAGAAAATACAGTTAAACTAATTGTAATTCTAGAATGTGATGACGTGAGAGGGTTGGGTTTCCCCTGTAGATGCTCAGGGCTCACTCCTGGTGGTGATTGGGCGACCATATGTATTGCTGAGATGGAACCAGAGTTACTTAAAGGCCTTACTTATCTCTCAAGCCTGAGAATATAACGACTTTTAAATTAAATATAGGAAGTTAGGAAACACTACACAGGCTTAATTTCATCTCAGAGATATATATACCAGAATATATATACCAGGAAGCAGATACTTTCTGGTACAGAAATTTAAAAAGTAAGTTTTGGGGAATTGGTAGAAGGGACAGCATGTTAAAAAGGTCCAACGGGATAGAATTGATGATACAGAAAAGATACCCTTTTACCCTTTTATGATGAGAACAAAATAATGGGGAATTACGGTCAGGAGAGATAGAAAATCATGGGAAGTTTTGAAAGCTATAACAAAAAGTTTGAATAAAAACTAGGATTGGGTTTTAAAAATTAGAATGGTCTCTGGAGTTGGGAGTGTTTTTTTGCTTCTTCCTTTCTGATTTTTTTACCCCTTTCTTCCTTTCCATTCCTTTTCCTCCAGTGGATTAGAAAGATTTATACCAGGTGTCCTGACACTGGGGTCTTAGTTGATGTCAACCTTCATTTTCATTTATAGTAGTTATTTAAGTATTTCTCTTTAAATGATCATGAACAACATAATTGTAATATTAAAAATAGTTCATGGACACCATGATTATGTGAATCTTAAGTCAGAAAGGCATCATTTGACTTGATTCCTGGACAAATCAAACTTAATATTTTTCCATTCAAGTTACTGAATTTCTTAATGACATTAAGTACAAAGGTAGCAGCTGTTTTTAGTTAACATTTACTTACTATTCCTTTGGACATAGCTTTTATATTTCCCAAGGAACTCATTAAATCGACATCTTGAAGATTAGTAGCATATGTGAAAATTTGCACTTTATATCTAATTGCAAACGGTGACCTTCATTGAAAATTCATTTTCCACCACATGGAAAAAGATTTAATGTAGAAGACCTGAAAATAACTTACCTAGTAGAAGTAAACAGGATTGAAAATTATGGGTTTTTTTTTTTACTTAATCTGAACTTCAGTTTCTAAGTAGAAATAGCAGAAAATAACATAAAAATTTATGACTGTGACTTAAGTAAACCAAAGAAGAATTTTGTCTTTCTGTTTACAGTGAAACAAGGTCTTTCTCAGTGAGCTGGTAGACTGAACCAGAGGTCTCAAGACATGCAAAGCTTGTGCTTACTACTGAGCTCTGTCGTTGCTCTCTGAGACAGGTTCCTCTTGCATTCTCATCAGCCAACATTTCTTCATTCAGCAAACATACTAAAAGAAAACTAGATCTAGATCACTTGCTGAGGTGTCCTGTCTCCTTGTCTCCTAGTCTCAC